CACATCTGAGAAGGTTATGGCAAAACGAATATGTCTCTTCTAGTACTTTCCTTTCCTTTTCAACTGATTCCTCTTGTTTTTGCAGCGTTTGTTGTTTTGATTTTACAATCTGGTCTATTTCTTTTTCGATTGACTTTTTTGAGTCCATCATGTTTTCGATAATGGTATGCATTTGTTTTTCTAAATCTGCCTTCAATTCTTGGTTTTGGACCTCCAAATTAGCTGAAGTAGATGCTACAATTCCTTTGGCAGCCTGAAATCTTTCTAAATTTTCTTTCAGTGAGCTCATATGGGTATTCAGCTTTTCTTCCATGCTTTTCCTTGCATCTGATGGGGCAACATATTTATGGTTCTGATGGCCGAGAACGATACAATCCCGACAAATTGGAACATCACATGTTTCGCAAAAGTACCTCAAGTCCTCGCCAGTGTGTTCAGAACAAGGAATCTGTTGTTTGGAACGAATTTCTTCATTATATTTTCCAGATGACAATTCTGTTAGTGAAACAATTTTATGGTTTAATGTTTGTGTTGTAGATATATGTCGATGTTCTGCACATTCGGAGCAAAGCAAATCTTTACAGGTAAGACACTGTGAGGATGCCTCAATGTTTTCGCCTTTTAAGCTACAAAACGAACATAGTTTCTTGACTTCTGTGTTAGAACTGATTAGTTCTATAAGATTTTTCAAACAAAAATTTGTCTTCAAATTTTCTACATCGTTATTAGAAAGTTTAAATGTTTCTCTACACACAGGGCAGGAATATTCTTTTTTATTTGGTATTTTCTTCGTGAAGGTATTGATGCAATCCTTACAAAATGAATGCAGGCATGGAAGTGTTTTCGGATCAGTGTAGACTTCAAAGCAAATAGAACATGTTAAATGTTCTTCAGCTATTGTAGACATGGAAGCCATTGCTGTTTATTCTGGAATAAAATACAATCTGTCAGGTTATAATATGCTTCTTTCAATTGTATAAATTTAATAATTAAAGAGTTTTAGAAATATATTTTAAACATGTTTACTGTTATATTTCTAAAAACATTTTCAGGAGTCGAAATTGAAATTTTAACATAACTAAAATCCCCTAATAAACACAAAGATAATGTTACACATGTGGTCTGTGGTCTTCTGGCAGACATCGGTGTCTCAGACTGATGCAGGGTGTGTTAATAAAAAACAAAATGTGGTTTTGAAACATTGATGTCCCCATGTCGCAGCTTTTGGCGAAGATTAGAGTTTCTCAAATGCGAGGTAAACTCCAAGGTCAAGAGAGATTGATCCGAATTTGTTAACTTTTAACTTTTGATACCCAGGGGAAAATTTGTTACCAAGAGAAAGAACTTGTCTCAATGAATATACTTCTGAAATATGAAAGCCAAACACCAACCATTAAAAATTTACGACCAATGTGTTTTTAATAAATCTAGGTCAATCTCAAAGATAATATTAAAGGAGCCGAGGGGAAGGCCTTGTCATAAGAAATATACATGTGAAATTTATTTATAGCTCTAGATCCAACTGTTCAAACGTAATAAGGTCAAGATTAATTTTTGTAATAAGTCAAACTCAGGTCAAGAGGCAAAATCAAGAACATTTATTCCATGCGTTATGTATTTTGATAGGCTAGCATTGGTTAGTGTCTTTAATTATTTCGGGGCTCTACAGTGCCGTTGTACTTATAGGTGAAGATTGAAAATAAATCTTAATACTTAAAAATATAAACATAATGACACCCAACAACAATAAAACAGGTGTGGCAATAATGTATCAGCTTGAAAAGGTTTAATTTTACAATAAAAAAAACTTACAAGACATTAATCGCACTAAAATTTCAAATGAATTAGCACAAGCAAATTCAAAGAATTGTGGTCCCCCGCTTTTGGTGTCTTTGTGCGTGAGATGTTATATTTTTCATGACATATTGTGTGTAATATGAACACCTTATCATATGTCATTTCTTTAGAAATTATCACTGAAGTTGATTTTTTTTAAATAAGGTAAATCGTGAAGGTCAAGGAGTAAGAAATCATATCATGCTCAAAATTATCTTGTGACAGGCAATGCACATGTCAAGTATGCCTTCTCAATATAAGGAATTTTCAAGATGTCTTTTTGAAACACTGATGACCCCGTATGACAACATAACGAAGATTAAAATTACCAAAAGTAGGGTTTTTCTCACAAGAAATACGATTGTGAAATACAAAATCTCTAGCACCACCTGTTCAAAAGTTATAATCGTGGATAGTTTTGAAAGGTATGTCAAACTCCAAGGTGAAAGGGTCTGAGTTCTTGGTTTCTTAAGAAAAGTCTTGTAACAAGTAATACATATGAGTTGGATGAAAGCCCTAACCGTTTAAAAGTTATGGCCAAGGTTAAAGTTTTTTAAAAGTAGGAAAACTCCAAAGTCAAGGTCAAAGGGTTAAAGTTAGTATCCAATGAAAGGTCTTCTCACAAGGATTACATATGTGAAGTGTGAAAGCCCTCGCCCCTACCGTTCAAAAGTTATGGTCAAGGTTAAAGTTTTTTTGTCATAAGTGCGTAAATCTCCAAGGTCAAAAGGTCAAAGTTGTTGGTATCTAATGAAAGGTCTTGCCACAAAGAATACATATGTGAAATATGAAAGTCCTAGTATCTACCGTTCAAAAGTTGTGACCAAGGTTAAAGTTTTAAAATAGTAGTTAAAACTCCAAGGTCAAGGTCAAAAGGTCAAAGTTCTTGATATCCAATGAAAGGTCTTTTCACAAGCATTACATATTTGAAGTACGAAAGCCTTCACCCTTACTGTTCAAAAGTTATGGTCAAGGTTAAAGTTTTTTTTTATAAGTACGTAAATCTCCAAGGTCAAGGTCGAAAGGTCAAAGTTGTTAATATCCAATGAAAGGTCTTGCCACAATAAATACATATGTGAAATATGAAAGTCCTAGACCTACCATTCAAAAGTTATGGCCAAATAAAAGTTTGGAAGTTTTGTGTAAAAGTGGGTCAAACTCCAAGGTCAAGGTCAAAATTCAAATTTGGTGGTACCCAAAGAAAGGTCTTGTCACAAGGATTACACATGTCAATTATGAAAGTCATAGCTCCACTAAATCAAAAGTTATGGGCAATATTAAAGTTTTTGTGACGGACGGACAGCTAGACAGACTGACAGACTGACGGACAGAGGGACAGATGGACAGACGAATGAGATTTAATGTCCCCTTGCTTTCGCGAAAGCGGGGGACAAAAACAACTAGGAGGATTACAAAAATGCCAAAATACTAAATTCAATGTATCCTTATATATTCATTATCTTAACTAAATCTATTTTGCAAATATACGGCTAACATAAACCTAGCTGTAGAATTGTAGCCTCTCCGAAAAAAAAAAAGAGATTGACAGACTGTTTATCCATCCCAATTTTTTTAGACCAGCGAGCTACAGATCTGCAGCTGACTCACAGATCTGCAGCTGACTCAAACCTTTCTCACTTGCTCTAGGCTTTGAAAGCTGTGTCAAGGGGAATAACTCTACCTGTTTGGGTGGATCTAATGAGGGTTATATGTAATAGCACGGGGTATTGAGCCTACTGATACATGCAAGTAATTGATTTTTTTTATTTTAAGCAGAATGGTTAAAACTACCTTATTTATTCGGAAATAGATGTAAAAAATGGGGATCTATCACGTTAATTTTTTTATTTTACTAAAATAGTGCTATTTTTAAGCTTAAATTGGGCTAATTTTCCAAAGGACTTTCAAAACATATTTGATAGATTTGCCAGATATGATGACAGAAGTCATGGCAGTTGATTTAATATATAATTTAGGACCAGCATAAAACAATTCACTGCACAAAATTACTCAGTTTGCGAGCTGCATGTAAAAATAGGTATCCAAACTTAACAATATTGAATACCGGTATTTAGAAAGAGAAAAAAAATTATCTTTTTATTCTGAAAAACTTCCGCCACAAAATTGTTTTCCTCTCTAAATGTTTTGGTATGGAATTTAATCATGGGTTTTTATTAACTGAATAAAGTTTAATTAGCATTACTGAATTTCATTCCAATTTTAGTTTAAGAACTTAAACAGAATGTAGATTTTTTTTAATAAATAAAAAATCGAAGGATGTTGCGAGATTGTCACCTTGATTAATAGCACAAGTTATATTATGGCAGAATAATTTTACCCATTTGTGTATATCAGATCCAAACTGAAAATATGTTAAAGTTTTTTGTATGAATTTCCATGAAACAGTATCGAAGGCTTTTTCAAATTTAATAAGTAGTAGAAGACCAGGAATTTCTTCCTCCTCAGTGTACTGCATTATACATAGATAAGCCGGGTGTTTCCCTTATATATCTGTTAGAAATAAAACCTGTTTGATCAGGATTGATAAGTTTATCCAGATAAGTCTTTAGTCTATTTGCAGTAGAACCAGAGACTATTTTATAAACAGTATTTAAGAGTGTAATTGGACGGCAGTTTTTCAGATATTGTCTTGGTTTTTCTCCTTTAGGCAAACGTGTAATGATTCCATGTCTCTTTGTTACTGACAGAATATTATTTTCATAAGCATAATTAATTGACCTAATAACAAAAACTCCGAGAAATCGCCAAAAGACCTTAAAAAACTCTGCTGAAAACCCATCAGAACCAGGTGATTCATTTTCTTTCATTTTGCTAAGTGTATTAGAAGCCTCCTGGAATGTAATTTTACCCTCCAAAGATGCATATTCATCTAATGATAACTTTGATATATTTTTGAAATTTAATTAAGAATTTAAGTCATATTTTTTTAACTCTCTGTTGGGTGTAGAGTATAAATTTTCATAAAATTGCTTTGTCCAAAATTTAATCCATATAATTTCAGAATTTTTGGAAAATAAAAAAAAATATTTACATTTGCAAATGTTTTCTTTTATATAAAACACTGAAAGCAAGCGTTTTTATATTAAATCTTTTTTGCGTTTGGATGCAGAATTTTTAGCGTTTAGTGGATTACATACACGTTGGGTTTGAAAAATTAACGCATTTCACACGTTAAAAGTAACAAAAAATATAAAGGAATTCACAAATGTAAATATGTAATAATGAAAAGAAAATTTTACAACTTGCTGATGATACCTCAAAAAAAGTATCCTTAAAGGAATTATGTATGTAAGAAAAGAAAATTTTACAACTTGCTGATGTTCAAAGTATTGGAACATTTTTCAGATGTATCAGGACTAAGAGTTAATTTGTTGAAAACTAATACAGTATGGATTGGATCCAAAAAATATAGTCAAGATATCCTTTATAGAGATTTTAATCTGAAATGGGGGACTAATAGATTCACTTTACTTGGAATTATTTTTGATGTAGAACTTCAAAATATGTCTAAATTGAATTATCAGCCAAAGATAAGCAGAATAAAATCAATCTTGCATCAGTGGGAGAAAAGACACTTAACACCAATAGGAAAAATCACTGTTATCAAAACTTTGGTTCTCCCTTTATTAAACCATATTTTTATAGCAATTCCAAACCCAGATGACAATTTTTATAATGAGTTGGATAAAATATTCTTTTCCTTCCTGTGAAACCACTCTCAACATAGAATAAAACAGGGTGTAATTGTTAAAACATATGAAGATGGGGGATTTGATAAATGTAAAGGCTTTTACATCTTCCCGAAAACTCCTACTGTCAAATAGAGATCTACATGATTTTATACCAATGTTAGGCCAAATTTTTTTTATTAGTTGTTTTACGGATCCGCCGACCCCATTTTTTTAAGTTTTGGAAAAAAAATAAAAATTCCATTCAATCCTTTTTTTATAATCGCCGATCGAACTTTACTTCAAACATATTTAAAAAATCCGGAAATGACCGTACATTGTTTGAATTTTACTTAGTTGTGATCAGAATCATGTAAACGCTTCCACTTATTGACCCTTTTAAAAAACTCTGCAAGCGTTTTATAGTCAGAGATGAAATGAGTATGACGGCCATGTGAAACATTTTAGGTTTTTTAAAACAGAATATAAATGTTTTAAGGACAGTAGTAAATGTATAAATGTATGACGGTTTTTAAAAGCTGGTGATTATTCTATATAAATCTGATATGCGAATGGATGGTTGAGGAAATTACAGCTAAAACCAACGAATCTCATGTCGTCACTTGCACTCCATCCGACACCCATAACTTTTCTTTGAGGGTTTGGCAAAGTTTTAAACAGTTATATCTAATGGTTAGTTAACAGTTCATATATTATTTATGACATTATTAAAAGCACATGTTTGACCGTATTTTAAAAATATGCAAGACGTGTTGTCAATTGTTAATGCGTTAGAGTAAGTTTATTTGTGTCCATTGATTGTGTACTGAATTTTAGTTTTCTACTGTTTAAGAAAAGGTATTATTTCATTTTGATTAAACTTTTATTATTTTACAGGGGGTTGTGTTTAATTTGCTGAAGTGAGTTTATCTGTGGCAATTTGAACGTAGCAGTGAGAGGACACCCGTATCCAATCATAGACATACGCAGAAAAGTTTAGCATTGTTCACATAATATGTCTCTCTGCTCGGAGAATCGTTCTCTTTTAGTGAGGAATGCCAAGAAAGACATTTCTGTGCAGTCTTCTGAGATTGATTTCCCCAACTGCTTTGATATGCTGCATATTAAAAGTTTTGACTTCTTTTTTTTTTCTTTTTTTTTGTAGCCACCCAATGGACATTTTCCAAAAAGAAATCCGTAAAACAACTAATAAGAAAAAAATGGCCTTAGATATAGATATAGTTACAACACGTTGAATTGAATATATTAAAACTATTTTAAAAAATCACTAAAAAACAAATTTTGGGTTGATGTATTTGACTCATGGATTGAGCTACATCATAAAAAAACCCAAATGCAGTTACATCAAATGCTCCTCCAGGGGTTCAAAATTCCTCAAGCCCGACGTCCCGGACTAACAAATTCCGGATCCGGACTCGGCATTTAGAATTCACCAAAGTCCTGGGACTTGGCTATGTTTCTTGTTTATCTTTTTTTAAGTTGAAAAAAATGATCGTAAAGCTAAAAATAAAGCAAATTCTCAAATGTGTTAAGTAAAAATGTGGGTTTGTGGGCGTTAAAATACCCACAAAACATTACGAAAGTTTCAAAAATACAATCCGTCTTTTTATTTTCCGTTGCGGTTAGACTCTTGCTTATATGCAATTCCTCGATCATGTTTCCTACTATATGACAAACGGCAATGAGTTTGTTAAATTTCGGTATAAGTAACATAAATTTCATGATGTATAGGTAAATATGGACTCTGAAATTTCCTCCTCGGACTTGCCTAAAATTTACTCTTTAAGTCCTGGACTTGACCATGACAAAAAAAAATTTGAACCCCTGTCCTCTTTTTTTATTTTCCCAACATCCTTGTTGGGGGGAAAGTATTTTTCAATAAATCCATGTTTGATGCTAATATCCGATACCTTAATGATGTTATAAATGAAGAGGGAGTTTTCTTGACTTATGAATCTGTTTGTGATATATATCCACAAGTGAAAATTAATTTTTTAGAATACATGAGTATTATAAGTGCTCTTAAAGCATGAATGAAAAAAGCGAATTTTGATGGAAGTTAAACTAAGTCACAAAACCCTCTGGTTATGTCAAATATAAATACCTTTTAGAATGTAAAAAATCAACGCAATTTTATAATCTTCTCAACCAAAATAGCACAGAACCTACTGGTAAGAGAAAGTGGAATGAAATATTTGAACTGAACGACAAAGAATGGAAATTGATTTTTAAATTGCCTTTTAAAGTTACAAACAATTGCAAAATTTTGGCCTAAAACTCATATCTATTCAAAATCATAGACAAAAAAATTGTACCTTCTGTCAAGTAGAAGAAAAAACAATCGAACATTTGCTTTGGGAGTGTGATCATGTACAAGATTTTTAAGAGAATTTGAAAATTACCTTGAAAATAAAACAAATCTTCAGATATCGGTAACAAAAAATAATTTCTTTTTTGGATTCTTAGATACTAGGGAAAACATACAAAATAATCTCGTTCTATGGCTTAAATATAGCATGTATATCTACACAATGAGGTGCACAGAGAAAACACTTAATGTATCTGCTGCGATATCGCTTACGAATACATTTTATGAAACTCAAAAATATATTGCATACAAAAATGGTGAAAAAGATATGTTTGATACCTGCTGGAACTACTGGAAGCTTTTATTTCAATGAATATTTTGACTAATATTAATATTGTGAATGCATGCACTCCTCTCTCTTTTCTATCCCTATCTATCTCTCCTCTTTTTCCCCCCTCCCTCCTCTCTCTCTTTCTCTCTCTTTCTAAAATGAAAAAAATACACCTTCTGTATTTGTTATTAATCATTTATTGTATTATACAGAATGTGTAAAACCCAAATAAAGAATTATATAAAAAAAAAATTAATAAAAAATTTCCTAGGAGGATACTCCATAATGTCTCTTTTTTTTCTCAGGTTAATATTAAGATTTTAATGTTAAGGTGTGAAAACTAGCTAATAAAGAAAACGTACATTGCAACAAAATTGCCTCTACTTTATATCACTGATAGAAAAAAC